TATATTAATCCTGTTATGGTTTATAATCATCCCATTTTGGTATGATAAAGGGAGCATTAAAATTAACAAGTCCATAATAATAAGTTATGAATGAGCACAATTATTACTTTTCAGAATGTCATCAGTCACACTGGTCAATTTTACAGTCACATCATAATCAGCTTCACATTTATGTCACAAAACAGAATGTTCACTTTGTCTGGTTTTGTTGCAGTCTGCCCCATATAACATACAGTACATATTAATTAAAATAAAACGAATTCACCAACAACGCTGCTTATATTCGTAAGCGAATCGCTTTTTTGAGTATTTATTGGCTTCGTTCTTGACGTGAGTATGGCAGACATTAAGTTAAAGTCTTCTAATGGGAAAGGCTACGTTCAGCGCGTATTTATACGAACCGGCCGGCTCGAAAAAGAAATCCTAATGATAAGTGTCTCACATTGCGAACGTGTAGCTTTTTTCACGAATGTAAAAATGTAGAGTGTAATGAATACGTGATTATCTATGCGCACTGGGTATTAGTAACAAATATTTGACGCTTAATACGCGACACTCGACCCTACGTAACTATTTATTCATAATTTCTGAGCTTGTTTCTAGGTACAACTTTCTATTTTAGCCGGAAAAAATATTTCTCCAATCCTACCAACTGCTATGATTGACTGTTGATAAACAGAATCACTAGTAACAGCAAGGCTATTTCTTTTACTTAGCAATAATCATTGTGAATATAGTACTTCTATCGCCAGTTGCGAAGTGAGAGGTTTAGCCTGGTATATATAGAAAGCGGACGTCAAATAAGCCTAATAAGGTGAGAATTATATCAAGAGTCTTAAGAAACTGTGAATTTAGGCTTGTGTCCCCCAAGAAATATTCGCGATCTTATTACGAGGGTAAGAGTAGTAAAACGCTCGCTTATTGTACGCGTTTTTTTAAGACGTTGGCTAGTACTTATTACTCCCCAATCAGCTAGAGAGAGCTTGAAACGCCTCGTGTAATCCAGCAAACTTTTATTTCCAAGAAACGAATAGCGTTTTTTATTCAGTGGAACTATTATGTATCACTATTTTCATATACAGATAATCTTGTATGTATAACTTTATCAATCTGCAGAGAGACTTTGGCGCTCTTTGTCAAATCCTGTTTTCAAACTATATTGCATGTTTATTATTGTTGTTATTGTTATTATTATTATTATTATGAAATAAACAAGTAATGAAAATAAAACAAAAAATTCCAATTACATTGATAATACTAAAAAAGAAATAACATCATCAATACTTATCCACTTTCTCTCCAATGGACCAAAAAAGAGGTTGCAAAATTCCAATAAAATTTGGATGGCACTCTTCAGAGGCATATTTTAAGCTGTGTTTCAAATCCTGTGAGGTTGCAGATGCTGACACCAAATGATTTGATCACCATGTACCTGTACATTAAACCCATTATTCAATTATAATTATTCAAACCAAATGAAATTAAGAACAATGCTATCCAGACTGGTACTTACTTTTGACCATTATGCAAAACTCCATGACTAAGTACTTGAGGAACAAACTAAAAATTCAATATTGCAAGATTCTCAAGAACAATATTCTCATCATCATTGGTAGAAGCCTTATATATATGGCTTTCTCATTATTGTTGTGATTATCAGTAATAGCAACAACAAAAGTTCCTTGATCACTTGGCCTCCTACTAATTAGTGATTCAAACTTGAACTCATCCCCAATTCTGTCAACTAAATGTCTCTCATCTTCAGGTGGAATATAGTCTAAGACTTCTTTTGGTACTGTTACAGGTTGCACCAGCATTCTCAAAGTCTGAGAGTCCCTGTTAGTTAAATCTAGTGCATGTATGCATGTCCTCTGGCCACATATAGGAATTCAATGTACAAGTTACTGGCAATAGCCCCAATGGCAAACTTTCTATCTTGTTGGAAATCAAACATATGCCCAAATATATCCACAAATTGTCCTAATGCTTCATGGTAATCTGAGAATAAATTGTGCTTTAGTTCAACTGCTGTGGCCAAAGGGGTATATTCCCATCAAGAATGGCAATATCAATCTTGGCTGTTGGATCCTCAAGGTAATTCTTGGTTGATACAGGTCGGTCAGTAAGTGTGGGTTGGTGAGTCTGTCCTTATCCTGTGGACGTCCTCCGAGTCCAGCTATCATCATTACCTATTATCCTATCTATTACTATATACAAGGTCAACCCCGATAAACTGAAGATGTCGGTGCAGCAATTCTTCTTCGGATTAGCGGGGTTGCTCTATAAACCGATGTGTATATTCAGGGAAACCATACGTTCGGATAAACGGGGTAAGTGCTCAAGCTGCCAGATAATATGTATCGTAAACACTACTCTTCATTTGCTTATAACATAAGCTTACTGCACTAACAGCTTGTGAAATAACTGCTTATTTGAGATTAAACCTTAAGTCAGAGATTGATTGACGTAATTTTTTTTTTAACTTATACAGTATATAAAATTCTAAGGCCAATGTCCATCTCTCTTTGTTCTAGGATAGTCCCCATTGTAAAACGCGCCAGCGATCTTAAGGTGTGATGCTAAGGAAAACAACGGCATTTGGTTAAGATTGATCAATGCAAACACATAGGAATTAAAATAACACTCACTGTTTTCAATCCACCTCCAGAAATATCCGCAAGCTTGCTTATACGCGTTACTAATGTTCTGATTAAACTTAGCCTCGAGAATATACCGGCTCGTTGGTGCAAAAAATTCATTAAATTTTTCTTGGGTATCAGTTTCCAAGTCACAGAGAGCTTTTGTGATAATAGGTTCAGGTCCAACCTCTTCAACTTTGCCTTCACGTCTTCATACTCATTGATTGCACGTGTTTGATTGTCGTCATTTTTTTACTTGAGAGCGTTTGCGTGACGTTAATTAACCCCGTTAGACGTTAATATATATTAATATCCCCTGATTATCGGTGGCACGTGTGGAGTGTGATCAATACACAGAACAAAACATAATCGGGTTGAAAAATCCGGCCATTCTGTCATAAATTCTATGGCATGACTGATAAACAGTATCTCAATCGGAACCTGCGTTATGGACGACACGATCACAAGTTTATTAGGCGAACTACAAGAACGAAATTTATTACACCGTTTCTGTTTCACGGGCAACACGAGTCAGTGGGATATTGAGAGTCATCTATTAATATATCTCTTAACATTACTTTGCAAATAGTTCCATCAATATTGTAACTAATAATATCACGTATTTCTGTAATAAGTATGTACAATACTGTATCGGCATGGGAATATGTTGCCGTAGCTTGATGCTTTTTTACGTTTAGCGTCAGAAAATTCGCTAGAAAGACAGAAAGAAAAGCGTCGGTATTCAGAATGTGGGCCTGCGGTTAGCCGTGAACCCATTGGAAACGGCGTGGGAAGATGCTTTGGTTTAATTTGGATTCTCACCATATTCAGTTGGCACATCTCGTTGCAAGCATGAAGGTTGCTGGCGATAAGGTTCAAAGAGGATATTATAGTCTTACTGAACATAGCGGCAAAATTATACAGAGTTTCGATCAGATTTATGGGTAGAACTCACCAGGCATAAATTGATACCGTGTTGATTCATGTCAGCATAATTGTTGTTTAATAGCCACATGGCCTTATTCTTCGTGCGGCTATACCGAGTTACGAAACTTGTCGATTATGAGGTAGTCACAGAAGTAGTCACACAAACACATATTTAAGATAAAAGTTTATATCCGCGGCATGGCTTAAAACTCTATTTTCATAAGCTATGCATAACATTGCAACATAAATTATCGAATAAATAAATAACAAATACGTTTATTACTGTTATTGCCAAAGCAAGAAGTTATGAGTATCATGAGAAATATTCCGTTAACAATATTTGCTTTCGAAAAGTCATTATTATAATTATGCATAACGCATGATTAGTCATTGTAACACAGCCAATAATCTCCATGTGAGCAGCAATGTAATGCTAGTCAAATATTGCAAATAAGTGAATAACAACAGAAATTATGACTTGGATTAACGTCCCCTTTTCTATGATGGATTCGGGGTTCACCATAACTTGCTTTTCATGCATGCATGTGAAATTAGTAAACCCGTCTGCTATGCCATAGTAATAGTTGTAAATTATGTTCTTCCCCTAAATAGCCATTCGAAAGTATGATAACTCTATCTATGCACAGATAGTACAACCAATAACCGCTAAATTGTTTTCATGTGAAATTTGTAGTAAACCAAAGAAGATCATTTCAACCCTAACACTGATTAAACACCTTTCCTTCTCAATGTCTGCGGCAAATTCTATTACAGATGATGCTGACATTCTTTCCAATGCATTGAATAAAAGCTTTATGGCTTACTTTCTTTTTATTCTATTCACGTTAAAACGTCAGTCTCGCCAAATATAGGAGAAGAAGATCTTCCAAACCCACAATACATCGCGTTAAGATGTTAACCTCTCTCTCATTTTCTAATTTCCTTAGTCTTGCACCAGATTTCTATTAATTAAGCCCCAAAAGTCGATAAGCTCTCCCGATTTCAATACCGGTTTTTATCACTCGGAGAACAACTATATCGCTATTAAAATTGTTTATTATAGATTAGAGTAAAAAAAAAAAAAGAATATACAATCAAACATTGACTACATCGTTTGTTTCATTTATTTCGGTCACTTCGTTTTCTTCATTCGCTTCAGTCACAATATGTCGGTCATTCCTGTGCTGCTCAAAAACGTCGACCCCGACTGTCTTCTCATTATCATTAGCATTACTAGGACTATTAGCTTTGGAATTCCTCCTTCCATATAAGCCATAGATAACCAATCCGATTGCCATCCAAATAAACAGACGCTCAATACTATTTTTCGTGCAAGTGGCTAATAATAACAGATTCATTGCGGCCCCAGTGATTGGCACAAAGAATGGTCCACCAGGTACACGGAATCCTCGAGGTATATGAGGAGCCTTAAGGCGAAGAATCATTACGCCCATATTGACCAGGAAGAAAGCGAAAAGTGTACCGACGGAAGTGAGATCAGCCAGGACGTCTATAGGCAGGAATCCAGCACCGAGTGAAGCTACTGCACCGGTTGCTATTGTGGTAACATAGGGTGTTTTAAAGCGTGGGTGGACTTTGGTAGCTATGGTAGGGAAGAGACCGTCTCTACATGTAATAGTAAACATAAAAAACGTGAGTTGCTTTACAGAGAGACAGGTTCGCGATAACCAACACAGAAAAGAAGGTAGAATATTAACTTGGCCATTGTGTAGAATATGCGCGGCTGAGACATGATCATAACGAGTATTACTGATGTAAGACCGGCAATTGCACCGAGATCTACTATTATCGCAAGCCATCGCATTCCAGTCGCGCGTATGGCTACTGCTATTGGTGCTGCTGTATTCAATTCGGTATAACTCACTACCCCAGTCATTACCAAGCTTTATAATAAAAAGAAATTAGCTATGCGGTTGTAAAAAAACTAACAATCACACCACCACACGTGTTTAACTTACCAAACGGCCACATATAATATTGTGCTTACGAGCAAACTTCCCAAAATCCCGATAGGCAAGTCTCTCGAAGGATTCTTTGTCTCTTGTGCGACAGTTGAAACAGCATCAAATCCAATGTAGGCGAAGAATACTACCGATGCACCAGAGAAAATTCCCGATACACCAAATTTAGAGAAACTCCCCTCGTTCTTGGGTACAAATGGGTGATAGTTTTCGGTTTTTACCGAGGGCGCGGCGGCAAACACGAATAATAGAATCACGAAAATCTTAAAGGCTACAATCGAAGTATTGAACCAAGATGATTCTTTGATTCCGAGAACTAATAGACACGTGAGGAACACGACCACTACAAACGCCGGTACATTGAAATATGTTCCTGGAACTGACTGAAACGCCGAAGTAGTAGAGTTGAAAATGAACGGGGATTGTGTATACGAGGGATTTAATGTTTTAGAAAACGCATCTTGGATGAAATAAACAAGGTACGAAGACCATCCAACAGCGACGGCGGCGATTGAAACGAGATATTCCAGTATGAGATCCCATCCGACTATCCAAGCCATCAGTTCACCCATAGTGGCATATGCGTAAGTATAGGCTGAGCCAGAGATTGGAATCATCGAGGCAAGTTCGGCATAGGATAGTGCGGCAAAGACGCTGGCAAAACTGGATATGATGTATGATATGACTACAGCTGGACCCGCATGGTTTGCAGCCGCCTGGCCTGGTTCGGTAGGCAAAAGTGTCAGAATAGGGATAATAGCGTTTGCTTGAGTAGACTGTCCCCTCCCCACATTACAACGATGGAATAATATTGTTGATTCCTTCAACTCACCAGTCAGAACGAAAATTCCCGCCCCAATAGTCCCTCCAATGCCGACCATAGTCAAGTCAAGGGGTCCTAAGCATCTATTCAATGTAGATTTTTTTTGGTCAGCCTCCAAAGACTTTATAGATTTGATGGTCAAAAGCTTTCGCAGGTTATACTGCCATGGAGTCTCGCCTTCTGTACGAGGAGTGCCGGATGTTAAAAATTCGTAACTTTTCGGGGGAGTTTGCACGTTTAAATTTGACATGATGTATTTTTTTCATGAAACGCACAGACGAAAGAGCAATCTGATACGAAACATTAAAAATTCTAGCACTCTAAATACAAATCCTCCGTTGTGGCGTCAATTATTAACTACATTTATATATATATTAGTGTCATTCAATATTTATACACATTTATTATAACATTGTTGTGTGTGGGAATTCACTATTGAGTTGTCTAAAAGTGAGATCGTTCATTACAGCGACTGCTGATTTTTTGGGACACCTTGCCGTAATTTTAAACCCTCCTGTGGTGTCAACAACCAATTACTTGGACCTCTTGCTTTCTATTTCTGGCGACAGGATTTTAATTGTCTGAAACCTAAACATAATCTGTTCACATGCATATGTTCTTGTTAGAAGATAGTTTATATAAGTAGGAAGAGAGGCGTGTGCATGTAGCGAGCTTGACTCAAACTGCTTTTAATAAAAGGCTCAAATAATATCGTTTCCAGTCAAGGACATCGAGCATGAACTGCTTTTCAATATCTAACAGAAGACAATTTGATTAGTATTAAGAACCTTAGTTTCGATTGGCCGAGCGGGGAAACATATTCTGTCAATTTCGTGTTTTTATAGTTGTTTTGATCTACTTATCCGTTATCGTGTACTCTCCCTAAGCTGTTACTGATTGACATTTGTAATACAGAACACATGTTGAGTGTGCGCGTACGTTGTGAAACCGGGTAACTGTTAATGGTAAATGGTAATGTATCTAGCTTTAGCGGGTTACTGTAGCTCGGCGATAAAGTTGGATAAATATCACGATCGTAAATGGCAATGTAAAAATAACTCCACAACTATCTGCGTCATTAATATTAAACAAAATTTGTAGCATCTGTCATATTTGTCATGTACAGTAAATGAGTAAATGACCAGGTGACACGAAATTTTAATAGTAAAGCATATGAAAAGTCTTTCTTTTCAAAAATCTCTCCTACTCTTGTGTACTATGCAAAGTGCAATAATTTTTGTATGGTTCTGAAGCTAATTGATTATGCTTTTCAAAAAAAATAACAATAAAATTTTATAAATTATTGTTATAAGTTAATAGCTCGACGAAGTGTGAGTATACGTGCTATATATATTAATATATAATCATACAGTATTAGTATATTTTCATATCGTAATTTAAAGACAGCTGTTTCAACTTGCTACATAACTTATAAAATTTTATTGTTATTTTTCTCGAAAAGCATAATCAATTAGCTTCAGAGCGATACAAAATTATTGCACTTTGCATAGTACACAAGAGCAGGAGAGATTTTTGAAAAGAAAGACTTTTCATATGTTTTACTATTAAAATTTTGTGTTACCCGGTCATTTATTGGAGGGGCTGATTTAATTAAATAAACGCAAATGATATGGTAAATGAAGCTTATCAAGCAGTGCATGTGCATTTCGCAGAGTATTAATTGAAACATGATCTGCATTTACAATGTAAGACATTGTCTTCGACTTGCTCTTTCCTCTTTCCAAGCATTTTATTTTATTCCTAGTGAAATGGCAGAGCTGAATCATCGGGGGGGGGGGGGGGGTGGTGGTGGCTGTTTGGCACATCGAGCGCGAAATTGAAGCAAAAACTGGTCACCTAAATGCGAGCTAGAGAATTAATTACTATTTTCACCGTTTCAAGCTTTGGAGCAGAAAATCCCGAGTAGAAATGAGCGGATTGAAAGAACGGATACTGGTTTGATTTGTTGTCAAGTCCAATATATCGCTCCTAAATATTAATATAAAAAATAAGTATTACTATGCTTTTCAAACCAACCTATACAAGTACACAACGCTTATACTATAATAAAACATACACGCGTGTTTTGTTTTTTCGTACGTGCTATATGATAAAGCCGGATTTTCATCTTTTAAATATCAATAATTGTTGACAAAAATTGCGTTTAAGAATCTCAACGAATATAATTGATTATATTTCAAAGGCATCGTGCGAAATCAGTGAAAACATTATTACCGGGAAAGTACAAAAGTATTAAAATAATCATCCACATGCAGTATCCAACCGGGGATGCACGATGGACTAAGCCACTACGACATGTTGAAACTAGCTTTAGCAGATCATCTGGACAATAACGTCTACACAGCATTATCGACTAAGCCACTAAATAAAGCGCTGTTGTGATTTTCTAATCCATGCAGCCCTTATGTCATGATAACGGGTACAAGAATGCCAAGCGATTATCCTGATATCGACAAAGGTATTGGTATTATTCGTGTCTCACTATTACAATATGTATTTAGACAATGATACTAAACTACAAAGACTTGTTAAAAATAGTTAGACTAACCATTTATAGTATGAAACCAACAATGCGAATAACGCTATAATATTCTCCAAAAAAAAAAAAAACTAAAAAAGAAAAAGCTCAATAAATAGTAGCTAGAATGTGATATAAAACAAAATGACAATCGACGAGTAATCATTGAAACTATCAGCAACAGTATAGAATAGAGCATTATCAAAAGGCCGCGATATATGGGAGTTGCCTATTGAAATTGACAGAGTATAAATTGATTAGGGAACAATTATTGTGTATTCCAAGAATTAGATGAACTAATTAATGCAAACAACATACCAATGATAATTTGAACAAATAGAGTGATGTATAGAACTTAAATCTCTTGTGGAGGCGATCCTTTCTGACAAATTAAATAACCATTTAGATTGTCCATTGACGATACTATGTGGTTCATTCTTAGGACAAACAGGTTCAAGATCACGATGTGTTGAGCTTTTGTCACTGATGAATTTTTCTCCAAAAGTTGGCTTTGAATAAAAATGGTTATGTGTGATCTGGTTGAAAACCAAGCCATCAGGTTAGAAACTGTTTATCCTCTAAAATCCAAACTTACAACTTGAAAAAATTTTTTTAAAAAATCCATACCTGTTCGGATAAACTAGTCGAGGGTTGCATTACACAGTAAGTCCTTGATGTTCCTCCGGGATCGTGTGGAGCGTTTGCGCTATCATTATCATTGATATTATGAGTTCCTCGTTGTAGTTTTGGAGAGATAATCTGGCGTTTTCGTCGCAATTTCCATTTCTCATTCATGCTTTGCATTCTCATAGGTTTGGAATTCCATATCGCAACCCTAGCCCATGGAAACAAAGCAAAGAACGAGTCGTGTATGTAAGAAAGAAGATCATCCAGAAATTGATTACCCAACAAATATTCATCATCGGCATGGTCATGAATATTCTCCATTGTTGTATCCATTTTGTCTCGATCAAACAAGAGATTCTTCGGTGAACAAATCCGCAAGAATTGAGAAAGGACTTTTTGTTTGTGCGAGTTCGAAGGGGGATCACTTGACATTTCGATGAAATTCGAGAATGATCCGGATATGATTAAATCAGTTATGCGTCGAAGAAATAATTTGTCGTACAGATGATAATGAAGCTTGCGATCCAAGCGTTTGATAATTTGGGTTGAGATGTAGGTGAGCGGTCCCCATTCTATGTCGATGAAACCATCAAGAGTTGGCGCAGACGGGAGTAGAGACAATTCTTGATGCTGTTCCTGTATCGTTGATATACTAGTAGTTTCCACATATCTTGACTGGCCGATTTTCTGGTCTGTGAATGCGTTAGTGTTAGTAAGTCATTCATTATTATTTCGTAATAGATAATTAATAATATTATTAATTAATACCATTATCACTCATGTTACACGGAATTACGAAATCTGGTAGAGTAGGAACCAATTGACTGCTATTTAGAGTATTCTGGTCCATAATCTCGTTAGGTTTTTCCACCGTCATAGATCCAAAGCAATCATACACTGTCGGTGTCATCCTGATTCTCTCTAATCGTTCTAGCATGACATCTGTTGATTGTGGTCGCTGACCCAAGTCAAATGACCAACAATCGCTGTAAAGTTTATAATAATCAACGGGAGTATCAGGGGTGGGTACTTCTCTCAGTCCGTTGAATATATCGAGAAACATCCCTAAATCGTGACTTTTATTTGCAAATGGAACTTTGCCCGAAGACAATTCCCATAGTAACACACCACAACTGTAGATATCGCACAGTTTACTGCGAGACGTAATGTTATTATTCAACCGCTGTGGGTCTATGTATGGAATCATGCCAGCAATACGGGAAGTGGGTGTGTATGATGGAGTAACGAGACGCGAGAGACCAAGATCAGCGATTACTGCTCGGTGATTATTGATGAGTATGTTCTTGCTGTGAAGATCTCGATGAATAATATTTTCCGCATGAAGACAGTCTATAGCGCTAGCGATGTCTATAGCAAGGCGTAGTTTATCTTGCCAGGTAAGTTTGGCAAAATTTGCTGCAAGATAGTTGCGTAGCGTACCACCATTCGCATATTGCATTACGAGGATGTAGTCTAACGAAGAGGGATCTGAGAGTCGATTAAATTATTAGGGATGGAAAATCACGTTAACTATTTTTGTATTAAATCGAGGCCATATCAGACATAATGCGTCATGTTTAAACAGTGCTCTTTAAACTACGAAATGTACGCAAGCATACCTTTGGTTAGTCCATAAAATCTGATGATTCTGTCATCATCGGCAAAGTTTCTGAGTAATTTAAGCTGCCCAAATATTCAATCAACGTTATTAGTGGCACGCGCGAAAACAAAAATTAAACAATTTCTTTACCTCGTTGACTAATTCTTTGTAAGTCTCGTCATCATCGCAGTTTGCTAACGACTCTAGACTTTTTAACGCAACTTTCTTTTTTCGTGCTCTCCATGTGGCTTTTTTGATAGTGCCATATCCTCCTCTTGCTACAAATTCTATTCCCGTAAACTCTTTAAATGGTACAAATTTAATGTGCCGACCTTCAATGGCCTCGTCTAGCCACGATTTAGTGGTTGACATTCGGCCTTGGGCTTTTTTATTCGTGTTATTCTTTTCTCGAGATTTAGATGAAAGGTAGTCAATAATAATGGGGAACAAAATTTGTAGAAAGTTTTCAATGCATATTTATATATACTTGCATATTTTGGGGAGGGGTTTTCTTATTTTACATACTAAGTGGTTACTAATAATAATAAAGAGTTGTGCGACAACTGAGCATATGTATATCATTTTTCGTGGGTAATTATAATGCACCCCGATTCGTGTTAATAAAACTTGATTTCTATTTGTTTATACAGACAACTTGCATTTTTCAATTCATTAAGCGGTAAAATAATAACGAGAGACATCCATAGTCAACCAAATTAGTACATCGTGAAATCTTAAACCTTTTTTCCTTACCTTGCCGGGTTTGCAAGAATAGGAAAAGAAAGAGAATATTTTAGTTTATCGCCGACCATACTTACTCGCGGTTCCCTACATCATGAATCAGAAATCTCGAGACCAGGCTAGCTTACAAATACGCATAGACTTTGTTGACAAGGACACAGCTATAGCACAACAATGTCAAGAGTTTCTGAAACAATGCATAAACTTTATATCGACGAACATTTCAATCAAACAACGAGTCACATTAGTATTCACATTCATACTCTTATATTTTATACTGTTCGGTGGCTCGGGAGTTGATGTACAGGACGGGCAGCCGTTTTTGGCTTCACCTGAGGAAGTGGATCCTTTGGCCAACGTGTTTCCAACTGAAGGAGATGGAATGGCCACGGCTATTTTATTGAATTGGTCAAGATTAGAAAACTTGAAAATTATTGTAAAGCATTTGTGTCGTTATAGTATGTTTAAGGAGATCATTATTTGGAATAATAATGTTCAGGTGCATTTGACCGATCAGGTACGTGAGAATAGTGTGCTGAAAAGGTGAGGAAATACGGAAAACCGAGAGAAGGAAAAAGAAAACCACATCATACTCGTTACAACTATAGACTCCAACTCTTTCTTTTTCTTTGTCTTTTCTCAAGATTTTCGCCGAAGTCCAATGTCCCAAAATCCGCATCTACAACTCGCCTGGTAACATGCACTTTATCGCTCGTTACATAGCATGCACAATGGCTACCACGGAGTATTGCTACTTCCAAGATGACGATTGGATAATAAACCACATGCGAGCGTTTTATGCAAACTTTTTGAGGTTTCCGCATTTAGTGCATACAGATACAAATGCAGATGTTTATTCTTTAACCAACTGGAAGTGGTGCTTTTTTGATGACCGTAAGCAATCGCGGGAGGTCGGGGATGAGAGAGCGGGAGAGGGAGCGAAGGGAAAGAAGGGAAAGGAGGGCGTATTTGTTGAGGAATGTAGTTAGGAATAGTGAAACGGTTGGCTGATTGGATTCGAATTTCATACTGGTCGCCTCTTAACTATAACCTTGTTAACTGTCAATCTCTCTAACTTAGCCCGTTTCCTATAATATTTATCCCATTTCATAAAACCAGCCGTGAATCTCCATGTCTGTTTCTCCTGGGTTGGCACAGGCGCCTTTGCATCTCGCGAAAACGTTATCCGCTTTCTTAAAATGGCTGCAGTTACCGAAATGGATCCAACAGAATTCGCATATGGCGACATGTATTTTACAACATACATGAACCAAGTTCCCTATCAATTAGAGAATGAACTCACCGAACTTCCTCAGGAATTTGCTTTTTCTGCCGGTGAAGGACGTATCCGGAATAAAATATATATGCACAGGGCCCTGATTAGACTATATGATCATTTGGGGAAAAACACGACGCCATTCGAGAAGCTCGAGCACTATCCAAAGATTTATCAGAGAGATGCTAGATCGCCATGTTCTAATGATAGATGTTTGTTTCTGACGAACAAGCATTCGTTTCCTGATGTTAAGCTGTTTAGGTATAAGCCATATATCAACATAAGTGAGAGTGAGCAGATACATGAGAGTTATTACAAGACACAGCACTTTATAGAGTTTCCGTATTCGCATGCCGTTGATGGAAAGGATTGGACCGCATGGAAGTCTAAAGAAAGTGAGGTTTAAATGATTGAGCGATTTGGGTAGAATTATATGGATATAGAGCGTTTTCAGATCGGTTGATAGTATTAGGATTATAACGGTTTGGATGATAGAGTCAAGTACTTACTGTCTTTGTCTTTTTGTAGATATTCATGCGAACGATTATATAGGCCTAGATCTTCTACTTCAGATGCATGTCCCTCTTACATTTCATCTTGTAGTAGATCATAAGAACGAGTATTTCGGTACCCAGTCGGTTGAGATTTCAAATGATGGTCTTAATTGGGTAAGTAGGCATATTGTCAGTATGTAATAATATAGTCTCCTATTAGCACAATAGGAAATCATCACCGTTTGCTCTAATTCTCTGATTTTTACTCTAGGTCAAACAATCGTCAGTCCCAATTGATATACATAAAGTATCACGAACATCCGATGGCAAAAAAACGCCTGTAATCTCTGCTACATTCCATATACAGAACACCGGGTTTAGATTTGTTAGGGTATTAAGCAATCGTAACTTTGACTTTGGTTATGGAGTTTATGATTTCTCGTTTCATGCAGACATGAAGAGCATACAAAAGAAACCATAGACGGTGTATAATATAGACCAAACTATCGGGTAAAAATATACAAACGGAAAAGGAAGTAATAGGCAATGTTGGGTATGGGACGAGGAAGAAGAAAAAAAAAAAGGAACATTAATCGACGATCGTAAAAGAGATAATGTCGAATCTTTTATTTGAAGCTATTTAATGTAATTTATTTTAATATGTACTGCCGGTATGGATTGCATACGCACAAAAACACGTAGCTCTCCTCAGTGTGAAATGAAGTTTGAGGCAGGTATCTGAAATCATATCTGCATTGCAGACTTTTCTATTCTCTGTTCGATAGTTCATCCATCAGAGTAAAATTGGCAGTTTCAATGTCCAAAAGCTTTAAGTCATCAACTCCTATCCAACAAAAACAGAAATTAAGAAATGTCCTTTATTTTACCAACTTGATCTGGCCACACACACCTTGTCTATATGGCAACACATCTGTAGCCTCACACCAATTTTCTTTACTTGTTTTTACCTATACCCTTCGTCTCCCCCTCCATAGCTCCCATGCCTCATCCTCCGTGGCCTCCTCTCCATCCTGTCTCTATCTCCTCGATCTCTGTCTCTATCTCTATCACCCCTATCACCCCTATCTCTGTCTCTATCTCTATCACCTCTATCACCCCTATCTCTGTCTCTGTCTCTGTCTCTGTCTCTATCCCTGTCTCTGTCTCTGTCCCTATCTCCTCTATCTCTGTCTCTATCCCTATCAACCCTATCAACCCTATCAACCCTGTCAACCCTGTCAACCCTATCAACCCTGTCACCTCTATCAACCCTGTCACCTCTATCTCTCCCTTCTCTCCTATCTCTGTCGCCTCTTTCTCCTCTCTCTTCTCGCCTATCTCTATCCGCTCTATCCAGTCTATCACGGTCCCTTTCACGAGATCTCTCCCGTTTTTTAGTTCGATGTTCACGATTTCGATAACGTGAATTCTCAATATCGACGTTTGCATTAGGTGATGGAGGAACATTGTCATAGTGATGGTTGTTGTGGTGATGTTCGGCTTGGGACATTTTTAACTTTCGACGGTCATATTCATGGGATGATTCATATTTCGGAAGCCTAACGAAAAAAAGATCGGCACAATTAACATAATGTCGGTGAATGTTTTTTTGGATTAACGAAGTCTAGTGTTAGAGTTATTACAGATCGAGTGCCATAATGAATTAACACTTACTCTCTGGGACTTGCGGGCTTTGGATAAGTCCAGAAATAACTATGCTCTAATGCATTAAATGCTGTTAATCGCTTCTTAGGATCGAGCACCAATAATTTGTCTAGCAGATCTGCTGCTTGCTTCCCATATCTAACAATAAGCAAAGTTAATAAATGCAAAGAACTATTTAACTCGACATGTGCGCACGTTCCTAGTGACATATTTGTCTTGAAAATTCGTTAGACTTTAGTATCATTCGCGTGCGCTCAACTAACCTCTCGTACTCGTCTTTAACTCTTCTTATGTGCGCTTTTCCAAATTGTACGTCTTTGCATCCGGGCAAATCTTTCCAACCAGGCATACTTTCTTCTGTTGGACCTCCGCACAAATCAAATATTAAATCTAACTGATCCATATCGGATCTTCCCATTAAAATGGGTCCGCCTTTGAGCATTTCTGCAAACACACATCCAACAGCCCACATATCAATGGCGGTCGTGTAACGTTTCTCACCAAGAAGAAGCTCGGGTGGGCGATACCATCGAGTGACTACACAACCAGTGAGCGTTTTGTCGACCATTGGGCGTGAGAGACCGAAATCGGCTATTTTTAATATTCCACGATTGTTGATAAGGAGGTTCGCGGCTGTGTTTCGGGCAATGAAAAAGAGTAAGCCAGAATGAGCGAGGCAAACAATGAAATGACAAGATAACTCGAGTTGACTGTACAAGCGTCTTGTAGGATCGATTACCTTTCATGTCACGATGAAGGATTTTTTGCTGATTTATTTAGAAAATATGATTAGCATGCATTATATTTGCCTTACCAAAATAATGGAATATTTTCAATTTACCTGGTGTAAATAATTTGTACCGTCTAGCAACTGTTTTAAATAACATTTAATCTGAGCCTCTGAAAATTTGACGGAAGGGTTTTCTAGTAATCCAGCGAGATCATGGTCCATATAAGGAAAGACCATGTATATCGAGGGTGGTTGTGTTTCTCCAGTCTCATCTGTTGCGTCTATTCGATCAAAGAATAATTAAGAATTCTGTTGACATTCTTACGCCGATGCAAATCACACAAACAGTTACTAATAATAATCCTATATCTATATTACCCACCAAATTCAACTAGTAATCATATACATACTACTAAACTTAATAGCCATGTCCGTCAAGCTGACAACGTTTTCATGATCCAACTGACGAAGGATTTTAATTTCTCGTATTGCAGTTATCGGAACGCCTTCTTTCTCATGGTGCATTAATATTCGCTTTAATGCTACTTGGTTACCTGACCGCTCATGTGTCCCTCTATGCACCTCACTTCGATATGGAAGAGAGAAGGATAGTAGAATGTGAAATGCGTGTCAAAGGTAAAAAATGAGAATCTGAGGAATGTACAATCAATATGGAAGACAACGGGGTTTATTGTGAAAGTTGAGTAGATATCGATAAATAACACTTGACTGCAACTTCAATTTGGCTGTAAAACAGTAAAGCCGTCAGAAAGATGAATGTCATACCCAAATGTTCCTTCTCCTAGTTTTTCTAATATTCTATAGTCTTCTATTGGTGAACAACCAGTGAAAGTATGATCCCTAAGAATACGAGAAATTAATACTTATTTCCCATATCCTTGTTTTATTCCACAACTTGTTTACTCGCAACAGTTTTCTCTTCTTCCAGTCGAATTTCTTTGACTTACGGATAATCGGCAAATTTGTCAGAGGCTAGTCCACCATGATGATATGCTTCAGCCGAATTCGGAACGTACGGGCTTGTATCTCCCCCAGCTCTCGTACGTAATTTATCTCCATCCGATGTGGGTGCATACGCGGGAGACGAATTATCTCCAACAGTCAATGGCATTAGAGTATCCAACACATTGTCTCCCCCAAACGCGGCTGACTCTCCTGCTCGTGCTTTGCCGCTGTCGCCTCCTCGATCATCAGTAAATGAACTCGTAGATCCGCTATGAAAGGAACGAGGAGACTTTGTTTTCTTGTCTGTTGACATGGATCTGAATATCAATATAAAGTAGGTACTCGCTCAGACTTTCCTGAAAGGAATAGGTAGAATTTGAGGATCTAGTGAGTATGAGTGCAGATAGGAAAGAATTTTTGTGGTGAAAATGTAGAACATGAATGAATTCAGAAGGGAAATTTTTGATGATGGCAGTTTATATAATTGTGGTACAAATGTGTTAATTGCAAAAGTTTTAACAAGTCAAAGCTAGCAAATAATTCACGAGACACAGGCAGTCCAAAGAGCGATTAGCATTATCTGGGACAAGCTCACTCAATTTGTCTAATACTAACGCTTTTATTACAAATTAATTCACTTTCTCGTCCAGAACATACTAATCAATCCAGTTACACGCCTCCGATCATCAACAAATACGGTTTCAAGCAGATAGGTGAGAAGGTTTACTACACCGAGGATTGCGGTCGTTTATTTCATCCATCAAGCATTCTTTACGGGAAACATAACGTCAGCATATTCAGCCTCAAGCCGGGAAATGCGGTTCCAGTAAGTCACCTATTTTATGAGATTTAATTCGTGACAATGAGCGTGTTCAACTCGGCGCGCTTAAACACAGTGTACGTTGCATAACGCTGTACTACGAAAAGCTTAGGGCTGATATGCTGGATAAAGATTGATACTGTAATATTGAAGTTTCGACATTTACCCTCTCCAAACCACTCCCCCTCCTCATCTTGCGATTCATAAGCAATCCGTTCATCCGCTGAATAAAGACTACAATAGAATTTGCTTCTCTTGGAACAAACTAGATTATCGCATGTCTTGTTGCTCGAATGAGTTATCGACAATTAACAGTATTGATAAATCGCAGTGATAAACCCGACAAGCGCACTATAACATTATTAGATTTACTTTATTTCTCATATATAAAATTATAGTTCCGCTTGTTGTTTCAATGGCTTCGTTTCACCAACTTTAATCTCTCCACAGTCCGCAATAATCACGTCGATTTTTGGTTTATCATAACCATCAGTTTCTGTATCTGAAATACCCAAAACTATGTTCATGCCCTCAACCACTTTACCAAAGACTACGTGACGACCATCTAGCCATGGGGTCGGAACGGTAGTGATAAAGAACTATATAAAATAATTAAAACACAGCAATGTCAGTTACGCAAGTGACAATCTGAAAGAAGGTAAAGGAGACACTAAATATTTCGGTGAAGAATATCCGTAACATAGATGCACTGGATTAAACCACCTGCTCTCTACCCCATACAATGAGACTATAGTTGACAAGAATCATCCCAAATCGGTCTTACCTGTGATCCGTTCGTATCCTTTCCAGCATTTGCCATACTCAGTATACCCGGTCCAGTATGTGTAAATTTAAAGTTCTCATCAGGGAAAGTACGTCCATAGATCGACTTCCCACCGGTACCATCACCTTGTGTAAAATCACCGCCTTGAATCATAAAGTCCTGTTATGTAGAGTATAGTTTGGTTATTCTAAAAGAATGTTGATGGAAGAAGGAGAATCGACAAAGGGAATAAGTACCTTGATCACACGATGGAACTTGGAACCCTTATATCCAAATCCCTTCTCTCCAGTGGCCAATGCGCGAAAGTTTTCCACTGTCTTGGGAACATCCTGGTTATTAATGGTTTTAGGCCTTTGTTAGAAAGGAAAAGAGAAGAAAAAACAAATTTGAAATACACAAGCCGATCGCATATACACACCTTGCCGAAGAGGCCTATCACTACACGGCCTAGGCTCTTATTTCCTTGCTTAATATCAAAGTAAACTAGAAAAAATAAAACAAGTTTAATACAATTTGGACAAGTCCAAAGCGCGAGTCTAATAGCAGCAAGTCTTGGAAGCCGTAAAGACCTTTTTTGGTAATTAGCGCCTCGTCCGACGCAGTCGTGAGAGCAACAAGAACTGATAAAACAACAATAAATAGAAGGGAGATAACGGAATGCTTGGTCATGGTGAACTGATGGAGAGTGGAGAGACGGATGGAGGAAAAGGCGATAAAAATATCTGACCCAAATCGGAATTTGACTCTTGGCCGACGCAGTTCGGAATGAGCCCATTTTATTCGATAGTAACACACAAACAATAATAGACAATGTGCCTGCGTTTAGCGTAGAGTATTATTTCTTATTTGGGCAACCAACATACATTTATTAGTATTAGCACGAAGACCTTACACCAATTTAGGTTATTGATATACCGAATTAGTATACGACTTATCTATAATATACTTGTAAAATGAGTAGTGTCATTACAAGGAATTGCGCTCCTGTATGAGCATTCGGGCTCAATCACTGAATTTTTACTGTTGAGGAAGTGGAAATTTTTACACATCACATACTGTCAACATGTCAACAGAATACTAATTCTAGTATTGCTAGCTAAGTGGGTATTAGAACTGTGTGTCATGTGTTTACGTGGATTGCGTAGAATTCTTCCACTCATGCCTATAATAGTCAATTGGTCATACTACTGCTAAGTGAGCATATTCTGGAAATTCATCCATTGATGCTGAAAACAACGGCATTCTCATAAATCTTTCATGCAAGATCTGTAAGCAGATGCAACCTGAGAGAGCACAAGTTTACACTTATCAGACACAATAGGTTAACAAATCGCACATTAGAATTAATAATGTAGTTCCCAACAATGAGTATGTTCGTATTATTGCGTTGGGTTTATTTCAGACATGTCAGCATTTCCAATTGTTAGAAAGTTGACCGTTAAAAAAAAAAGGCGTAATTTAATGGCTTTGAAAATGAGTAGCTCATGAAACAATTTTTCTTGTTGCAGAATAAAGGATATTAGCTACTCCTTCAAAGACATAAGTGGGAGCGACCCAATTGGAAAAAAAAAAAAGTGTTCGTTCATATGATGATGCTCATAAACTCCCAAGAGTTCGATAATCAGTACGATGGGCGTCTGTCGTAACATTACCAATGACGCTAATCAACAAGAAAGTGTGTGAAAACAATGTAAAAACATGGGAGAAATCGTTATAAGCACTAACCAACAATGAAAATGGTAAATTGTTCTTTCCGTTTCCAAGTTTTTGTGCTATTGTGTGTTTAAGGTTTCCACATCATGCTCGATGGCAAAAAAACGAAACAAGCGCATGCAATGGGGAAAAGCTTTTCCTTTTCCTTTTCCTTTCGTACTATTGTTCCATTATCTTATTCTCGAAAAAACAATTGCTCTTTAGTATGTCACACAAATGTCACTCTTGGAGATGATATCAATGATTGGTTATGCACAGAGAATAATATTAACGATAATAAAGTCCACATGGGAAGACATATTTTTTACTCACGTATATTGCTTATTATTATTATTATTATTATTATTATTATTATTATTATTATTATTATTATATTCATAGTCACCGCATAAAAAGTCTTAATCTACTAATTATAATACTAACCGTTTTATAATATACCGTCCACTGTGGTCATTTCAAGTAATGATTATCCCCCGATCCTTATTCTGTCGCTTTTGTCCGGGCTGCTGTATGGATTATAAAATCAACTTCCTCCTCTCATTTTTTCTTAAATTCCCATCACCATCCCTCCAGATCCCACCCTAAAAAAAACATACGCCATTGATTATGTTTGACCTATCATCAAACTACTCCCTATACACTCTCCCTGTAGCTGTTGTTCTTGCCTATGCACCTCACTTTTTCAAAGGATCAATTGTGGTCGGACAGACGGGCAAATGGAATAACATTTCTCCTCGTAGCAATGTCGACAAGGCTGAAAAGCAGATGACTCAGGCTGCTTATAGAAAAGCTAAGAGATGCGAAGCCGCACACCAGAACGGGATGGAATCATTCTCAGTCTTTGCTTGTGCAGTTGTAAGTTTTGGATATAGTAGAATAAAGTGGGAAGCGGAAAAACTATGAGCAAACCCCTAATGTTTTTTTCTCTCCTGGCCTTGTTCTAGATTGCGGCCAATTACGCCAACGTATCCAATGTCACACTCAACATTGCTTCGTGGTCGTACGTCGTTTGTCGTGTGTTGTATAATTATGTATACATCAGCGGAGAGAGTCAAGCAGTGGGGAATATTCGGTCTTTAGTATGGGCCATTAGTTTATTGATTGCGTCATTTTTATATGTGCTTGCTGCTCGATCAGTTGCTTAGTAGGCAATAAGCATGTGATCAAGGAATGTATTATGTACACTTTGCGGTATATTGCCGCCATCCCTGTAATCTCTCACGTAATAATAATAATAAATTTGGGAAAATAAAATTAAACACTGAAATTCTGAGTAATCCACAAGAAACTTCCCACTCGTCAACGCCAAGCTTACTCACACTCACATTACATATTAACGGCAGTTTGTCATCATCGAATGCTCACGCACCATGAGCGGCCCCCCACACACCCATGAGAAGAACACGGCATACCAAATGGAACCCAGACCATCGTAGATAACCCACGATCAAATCAGTATTTACATCTTTGTCCTTTAGAGGCGCGAGAAGATGACACGCCTTTGCCATGGTTCGCAATGCTAGACTGGAAAAGTAATAATGAGACTGACAATACTTTTTCACATGCATCGTTCTCGTGAATTATTTTCCTTGTACTGATGACAAATGAATTTGCTCGCAATAAATTAGTTTCATCAAAGACTTGTATTTCATACGAAGCAATTCGTTCTAGTCTTAAATGTATTAATACCGATTCTAATGCCACGCGCTGAGAGATTTTTTTGATACAGATTTTACTTGAATCTTTCTAAACCAACTACAGCTAACAAGCGTTCCAATTGTTTGAAAACGAAGGAAGTATACCCACGAACGGTCGCATGAGAACTCTCAATTGAAAGACCAGGATCTCAAAGTCCTCTACTCGAATTCATGATAAAAAGCGATGCCACTGCAGCGTCCACCCACTCTCTTTGCGGTTGCACAAGTCCTAGGCAATCAGAACGAACATTCTTTCTATTACGACCAAGACTCATCTGTTATCACTTACCTCTCTAATCCACCGCAATGAAATTGTCTAAAGAACGATGTACCCTTTTGATAACTGGTGTCGACTCCTACATTCCAAATTGTATCGCTTCATGTCTTCTCGATTGCCTCAAAGGCTCATCGTCCAAGGTTAAATTTGTCGTCACGGCCCAAGATCCTGACAATGAACTCGTTCGGAAATTGAAGAAAAAAGGAGCCGAAATTCGCGAAATTTGCTACGATGATCGTCAAAGTGTCGAAGATGCGGTCCGAGGCGTTAATGTTATGGTTTTCTTTCCCGAGCACGACGAAGATCGCGTCAGACAGGCGAGGGAAATGGCTAATGTATGTATTATATATCGTTAGGAAAATCAAAAAATTTCGGATCATAATTTGAAGATTGGTCCTTAATTTTAATGTTCACGTTTTCAAATATAGGCTGCCAACAATGAAGAAGACCTATGTGGAGTTCTCGTTAACACCATTCAGGGTGCAGGAGATGGGAAACAAAGGCTGTTTAAGGATTATTGCGAGATTGAAAAAATTTGGAAAAAAGAAACAAAGTCGTCAGATACTTGCCTATGTGTGTTGAGGTAACATATATAACCTTATTAGATTCCTTTTTGTGTTTTCATTTCCGATTTAGCTTGACCTTTTAATTCTTATTTTTATTTTTTCAATCGTAAATAGGCCCGGTTTCATCCAGGAAGCGGTTGGTGGCATCTCCATTCTTCTATGTAATCCCACTTATAGCTCTCTCGTATTATCTCACAATTCTTTCTTAGATGGAACTTTGGTCTCCACATGTCGAAGATAGCGGTACATTCAACATGACCCCATCGCCGCACAGACGTTTTGCTCCATTATCATTGAATGATTACGCATGTGTAGTTTACGAAATTCTTGCAAAGGCTCACGATAAAGCAGTCATCCAAATCGATCGAAAGCACCACCACAAGTGCTATACACTTACTGGTCCCAAGTCAATCAGCTTCCATAAAATGATCGAAATAGTTAACGAGGTGATTGGTGACCAAGGCAGTGTTGAGTACGAGCAAGTCAGTGAAGAAGAGCTTGAAGAATATCTCACAAACCTCTCGTATGATGGGCATAAACGTGATGATGGTTCAGTTTGGTATGGATTGAACGAGTCTAGCCGGGCTGTCACGAAATTGATCAATGAGCCTCAGGGAAAAGTGGATAAGCGCGTCAGGAAGTTCATTGAAGGTCTTGACAAGGCTGAAGACGCCGTTCAGAGCCTTAATAGACGCAACAGAGGTCGTCAATCTAATGGTGAATACCGCTACAACACTCGTCGACAGCAGAAGGGTTTGCAAGCGCGTAGAATTGACGACATTATCGACATGCTAGATCGATTGAGGAACTCTGGTATTGAGGATGCGGATATGTTGAATACCAACGAGAGAATTAGGCTTGCGAATGATTTGAGGAGAGAACTTAACCGAATTGCAGAAAAACTTCGGGGTTCTGGACTCGAGGGTGAAGGGAGACATGAACATAAATTCCCACGTATACCACTTCCTCTTCGTCCCATTGAAGTGAATTGCGTGTAAGTACTCGTTTTTATTTTCTATCCAGTGACATAAATATTATTGTCTACTTATTTTATAACTCACTCCTTTGCTGATCAACATAGACTCGATATCCTCTGCTATATCGAAGAAGGCTGTGCTGATAAGACTACTGGTGATGTGGAGAAGATTACTCACAGAGAACCACAAAGTATTAAAATCTGGTTCGAGGTAATTTTCATTACGTCTCTTGTCGTCACTTTTCTACTTTTACGCAACTCAAATCTCACCTTTGCTCAATTTAAACCTTTAGGATAACTCGCAAGATTTCGTCCCCAGAAATTGTGAATTCTGTACCCACTCTAGAAACTGCAGATGTGATTGCTGTTCGAATAACAACTACAACCGTAGGCGTAATTCCGACAACTACAAACGTAGAACTTTCCGTAGCAGAATCTAAGGAATATGTAATGAGGGAAATTACAAAGAGCTTGGGGAAATATTTCTTTCATGTAGTTAGTTAGTTTACTTGGTTTCTTTACTGTTAATACCAAAAAAAAAAAAAAAAGTAAATCTTGAACGGCGGTTGGGATATATATCCAATATAATAAATATAGTATTAACTTTTTGACTCTGTAAGTGTATGTATATATATATGTATGTATGTTATGTTATGTATGTATGCTATTTGTGGTAAAATTAATTTTATTTTTGTTGGAAATTTGTTCTTATAACTCCCCAAACGGGTCGCAATTAATTAAGATAATACAAAACTATAAAAAAAACCCCCGCCAAACTCTTCTATCAATTTACTCTTCATATTGGACCAGCACGCATTCCTCATAATAAGCAACTCCATCATTCGCCATGCCAGATGCGTCACAATTATTTCGACACGTAAAGACCATAATTGTACCCCACTCCATACCCAGATCAAACTGAGCAATCCCCATCCTCGTGTTCTGTCCTGGTCTAACATCACAAACGGGATTGTCTACGAAATTACTCGTCTGCAATACGCACAAGGTATTAGGCATGAGTTGTAGCTCAAATACGCGTTGTCCTCCACAATAGGAACATACGGGAATACGATCATTTGTTGTTTCCAGCAAGTTGGAAGATGTCGACGACGTCTCAAGTAGAAGCGAGGCAATGGCATCGCTTTTGTTGTAGAGAAGAGGCTGGCCCCCAAAGTCGTACCTACAAACGGATCGATTGTTTACATCGTTACTCTGTAGTGAACCGCAGTAGCCAACAATTTAATATACAATAGTCGTTGCGATTACCGAACGCATTGATCAGACCATTCCGCAGCTCGCTCTGAAAATCCTTTGAATGCTCTATCGACGCCTTTCGGAAGAGTTGCCTTCTCATACTGCTCACCCGACCAATCGTCTTCTGTCCCATCAAGAAATTCACTCTCCATCGTCAAGTATTGATCGTACTTTTTCAACAATGGATCCGTGGTTTCTTCAAGAATTTCTTCAGTAACATACAAACACTGGCCAGGGAAATGTCGAATATTATCAGACCAGGCTATTTGTTTTTCCGAAAAACCAGATATCATATAATTTATCCGTAAATAATGCACAGAGAGTAACAAACAGCAAAGACTCAACGCAAAAGGATGATTTCATTACATATGGATTTCGATGTTGATATAAAAGAATGTGGTTGATTTATGCTTAGTTTCGCGAGGCCTTGCGATAGTGAATCAACGTTCGACATTGATAGCGTGTTTGTGTCATTTGGTATAGTTTTTGTCTTTAGTTGGCGTTGTTTTGCATACTCTTCATCGAATCTCTGGGCTCGGATTGCGCAAAAGCTTGAAATAATGCAAATCAATAAGTCACGGGTTTTTGCTCTCGCAAGTGATCTGAATTCTAGCTCTGTCTTTGCATTCATTCTCACCTGCCATCGCGCTTCATGCATCTCTGTCGGTTACATCCCCAGATGTAAATCACTCTTTCGTATGGTGAATCTTGTAGTGGTGCGTATCCTTGAAAAAGCAAAAACATTTGCTCATCGCAGTTCTTGCATATTATTACATGATCTGACACGGGACAAGACGGAAGTAACCAATTCGGTACGCCTCCTATCTTTATAGCATATGGATCAACGTCTTCGTTAAGAGATAATTCCCCATCTGGAAGACCCAATAATACGGAAGTTACTTTCTTGACAGGTTTCTTTACTATCGTTTGCGTAGTTTTTTTTATCTTAGATGTAGCTTTAGGTTGTTGCTTCGGCTGTTGCTTAGGCTGCTGTTGTGCCTTTGTCTTTGACGTGTTTGACGGCTTGAATTGTATGTCTCGAGAATTTTGGTTGTTCGCTCTGCTAGTACGTGAATTTCTTGTAGACTTTCTTTGGCCTTTCCGTTTGTTCTCCATTGTGCAGACGTTAAAATTATTTGTAACGGGTGAGAATTTAGTTATTATTATCTGACGAGGTCTAACCTACAATTACTTGAACATTCCAGCCAATTTGAAATTTTTTTGATCACACGTGAGAGATGGATGTGAGATTAATTTAAATTTTTATTTTCGTGTTACACACGTTCTTCTATCCTTTCGATGTCTCTTTCGTGTTGGATATTAAAACACACTCTGATTAAGTTATCCAAAAAATTGAAGCGAAACTTATTGTCCATAAATATTACATAATTATAACATGAAAAAAACCGATATAGACTTTTGAAAAGCCCAAATCTTGGGCATCAATGTAAAGTGAATCAAATACAAAAGTGTCTACCAGTTTCGTTTTTAACATTCTAAGGGAGAAATTTTCTAAATATTATAATCTCTTTAGCTTTATATTAATTACTATAAAATGATAGGGAAAACCAATGTAATAAGAGTCAAAGCAAGAGCAGACCAGGAGCTCAATATATTCGGCAAACTAGCCGTGCTTGGGGGACCGGGAGGGGTGGTGCCGTTACATGGGCCAGCTCCGTCGGTGACTATTTGAGGGAAGATTGATTGTGAATCACCAAATATATCAGTCGGATCGACTTGCCCTTTTATAATCTTTAAGCGAGCCTCATTGTCCCCATAATAAGATGTAGTTGCATTTTTCAGATCCGCATCAACATAACCCTACAATGAAAGAAATAAATGATTAGGTACGAATATCCGCAAACATTGAACAACATTACTTCACTATAATATCTTACATTATACGAATATGTGGTGGCGAAAATCCTGATTTCAGTGTCCCAACGATTAATCCAGGTAATGGCTTGTGCGTCTGCAGTGGCATCACCATTAAGTATAACAGTGACCACAACGTGAAGCGTCCATTTTCTGTGGAAGTAGGCTGTCAAGTTCGTAACTTGAGTTGCAAGAATGCCGCCAAGACCGAAGAATTCGACTTTGGCTCCAGCCGGTGCAGACTGAAGCAATGTTGTGATACTAGTAGATTGCTCCACGGTGAATGGCGCGTTGAAGAATATCGATTTGGCTTTGGCATTTTCACGAGGTGTCTGAGGAGCTGGTGCAATATTCGGCAGGACGCCTGCAGTAACAGTAGCTCCAGCAACAGCGCCAACAATTGGAGCAAACGGATCAGTACCAACGTTAAGTAGTCCGTTATTTTTACATGTGAGATCTCCAAGGAAAAACGATCTTGATAGCAAAGATGGGCATGCTTTCAGGATTGGGTTCTTATTGGGAATAGTAACTAGACCGCTTCCACCAAGTATAGGAGTTGCTGCTTTCACGGTTCCAATATAATGTCCACGGAATTGAAGAATGCCACCAGCAAAACCCAAAAAACTTGTAATTTCACCCGCAGCCGTTGCACTCCATTCTGAATAGGTTTTAATCACAGTTGCTGCTGACGTAAAGTCATAGTCGTAGCTGAATACTGTACTATCTGCCCAAGTGGCCTGCAACTGTATCTTTAATTGTGTAATTATACCGTACGTGCCTCCTCCACCTCCTCTGATTGCCCAAAAAATGTCGGCATTCTCTGTCGCACTAACACTCAGTGCATTTCCATGAACGTCGACAATAACGGCCCCGATTATTAAATCTGCCGTAATACCATATTTCCTAGTACCGAGTCCATAACCGCCGGAAGAAATTAGTCCAGAAATACCAATTGTGGGAACGAATGGTCCTGGAATGGTAAACCCAAGTTTTTCCAAAATAAGATATAGAGTACCAAGGCGTATTCCTCCTCCAACAACCGCAATGGAAGTGGCTGTATCCACAGAAACATAGGCAATACGACTCAGATCGATAACGATTGAATCCGTCAGTGATGAATATTCCTCATAACTGTGACCACCAGAACGGGGAACCGGCTTTAATTTAAATGCGACCGAGCAATCTACGAGAGCAGCTACTTGAGAAGTATTAAATGCGAATGCAATCGCGTATGGGTATGTTTGAATGCGGATGTTTTCTCCAAAGCGGTAATTATTGTAATTAGAATCGTTGGCTGACTTGAGGATAATTTGTGCACCAGTAGCGTAGAGACAGTCGTCGACCTTGGAGTAGGAGCTAGCGGAAAAGCTCGCGACAATGGTATTGTCAACGACATCAGAGTTGATAATTATGCTGGTGGTAGTGCCAGAAATGATGGTAGTGACAGTGTTGCCTTGGCTCGTAGTAACGGTGGTCGTTGTAGAGGTCGAACCACCTCCACCTCCACCGCCACCTCCTCCAGTAGCTCCACCGCCCCCTCCACCAGTAGCTCCACCTCCACCTCCTCCAGTAGCTCCACCTCCACCTCCTCCAGTAGCTCCACCTCCTCCTCCTCCAGTAGCTCCTCCTCCTCCTCCTCCAGTAGCTCCTCCTCCTCCTCCTCCAGTAGCTCCTCCTCCTCCTCCTCCTCCTCCTCCTCCAGTAGCTCCACCACCTCCTCCTCCAGAACCTCCACCACCACTGCCAGAACCTCCACCACCACTGCCAGAACCTCCACCACCGCTGCCAGAACCTCCACCACCGCTGCCAGAACCTCCACCACCGCTGCCAGAACCTCCACTACCGCTGCCAGAACCTCCACTACCGCTGCCAGAACCTCCACTACCGCTGCCAGAACCACCAGGATGGTTATGCCTCTTTGTTAGCGCCTTACAAGACTTGGGTGGGTTCAATTCCCCTCTCGTAAACAGCAATCGAACATCAAAAGCTTCAGCAGTGGTAGACAGCAATAGGGGAACCATTACTGTCATTACCACTATCCATGAGACGAACAGAAGGACAGTCTTTCGCGGCCTCGCCATTATCTATAGTCCGTTAGTAAATAATATATAAACTAGGTAATAGCCGTGAAGACAGAGAATGCGAGAGGAGAGAAATCGATTATAAATAGTTTTTGATTGTTAATTAAGGTAGCACTCGGACGTTACAGTTTTTTCTTGTGATCCGGGTGTGCACAATGAATTGCAGGGACGTATTGGAAATTTAAGATACAATAGTCTTCGTTCTTCTTTTGCATTTTGTAATTGCTTCTTACACGATTGGAATAGTTCGGCTGAACGCAATCGACGGTTTTGGAGGGTTGCATGTTGCACCAGTTTGCTTGTGTTCAAGCATGCAGACAAGCGAGCCGCATCCTGAATTGTCGACATTAATTCGGAGCTTAAAAAATTAGACTTAATCTTCAGGGTATCGAAACCGATGGGCAGGGGGGAAGGGACGGAAGTGGGTGGGATGGTGTGGAAGGGAACGAAGGGAACGAAAAGGGTTCGATGAAAAGCTGAGCGATGACGGAATAAGTTGAAAGCAGAAAATTATTAATGTCTTTATTTATTGTTTGTTATCTATATCAAACTATTTTGATTGGGAGGTTATCTCACATTGGTTAAGATATTTACTTGGACAAAAAAGGTTGTAATCAATAAGACTAAATGCTGTAGCGCTAATATTAGATGTACGATCTGCGGGGTGACGTACACAAATGGATGAAAATAGATTAGTATACATTACTTTACAATGCCGTATATATTCATCCGGTGTAAATAGAATGTCTATATATGTACTTTCCCGTTTATATCTTTGTATATATAGATTGCACATAAACATACTAATACTAAAGTATACATACTAATACTAAAATATACATCCATGCATATTTAAATTGATGAGTTGATAAGAAGGAAATGTGTTACTCACGATGGCACGGAAACCCAGTATCATCGGTTATTTGTAATTTACTTTTCGAGAATCAACTAAATAGATAAAGAATGTATTTTAAATCCAGAAATGGTCTTAATATTATATCTAACGCCAAAAGTAGCTACCATCTGTGGCTATCAAGAAGAACTAGTCTTCAATAATATAGCCATAATAATATGCTGCAAAAAACTCCAAACATAGCATCACTGTACTGAAAATGTCATTACCATCAAGCGCCACAGATTCTTTCTACTTTAACAGAGTTCGACTCGATAGACTTTTGTATTGTAGCATAGCGTACAAGTAATGGTAATTGTGATTTCTGAACGTTGTCTCCGCCCGTTTGGTCGAAGAATGTTGCCAGAATAAACAGCGATAACCATAGTGCAATAACATTGAAAAGTGGCCATTCTGAAAATAAATGACAACAAATGCGGCAATGATTGCATAGGCCATTAACCGCTATTCCTTACAGCTGCTATCATTAATTAATATCCTATCGATGTTATCAACTTTCATCCTTGCATTCGTCATCTTCGTAAGTTATACTTGTTCTTTCTTTCCCATCAATCCTGCCGCTCTGTCTTTTCCGTTGTTTTACTTGCGTATTACAGCAGCTTTGCCTAACTTGCGAATTTCAAATGCCGTCCATCAAATGAAAATTCTGGTATTCTAAAAAGAATTCGTTTGTGATGTACGAAAATTGTTATACTTGTTCCAAATATATCTATTGTATTATGGTTGATTTTCTAAGAGTCAGTGAATTAGTGTTTATCGGTTGTTCGCGTCTTTTATTAGGCATCAGTTATCATCGGTTACACTCTGGGAACCATAGAAATTTGTGAAAGAATTCTAATACGGTATGTAAAGTCCCCTATAAGGTAGCTATCTAATGGTAAAGTGGACCTATGCCAAAGAATGCAGCAATAATTCGAATTTTTTATTCCGGAAAGTGAAAACATGGCAATAAAAATGGAGTATCAGAGTGATTATATGAGAGGAAAATATCTCGATCCCAAAGCCATTAACGAGATAACTGTCTCTTTACAAATCCAGGACTTCTACCACTATAATTATCATCATCGTTATTATTATCGATAATAATATCGCTGCTAAAATTTTACCGTTCTTATTTCTTTGCCGTTTCTCAATCACTCCCATCGTTTAATCGCTTCTCTGATTTTTTTCGCCCATGGTGTTGTTTTTCTTTACGAGTAGCGTAGTGTGCTTAAACGTATGAAAAATTTTCACATTCCAGTTCGCCAATTTGGTGTAACTCTGCATTTTTACTTCATAGCTAAAGATTTGTCTCAACCCATTTACAGTACATGAGTAGCGTTGTTATTGATACTTGAGAACAAGCAATTTGTTTGTTTGTCAATGTAGTTCTCGTGATTTAGTAAAACATTCCCATTAAGATTAAAGACTAACAAAGCTTGAATGGATATGATTCATAAATTTGCGAAAATATCGTGAATAGAGGAAATCTGCATCTATCCAGGGTCAGATTGTTTCTTGTATTTAAACGCCAATAATACATTATTTTTTACTCTTGAAACTCTATAAGAACTAAAGAAGAATTCCCATTCTTAAAGTTAGCAATTTATGAATAAGCGTGTATGACTCAATTGTGAACGAACATCCTCTTCTTCCTGTTCTCCGTCGTACTGACATCACTAGGCCAGTAACAGTACTTGAATATGTTGTTTTCTTCCGCATAACGTAGAATTTAACTTTATGCAATTTCGCGAACCCTTTCTTGTTGCACTAGCGGAGTTTTTGCGCTTACTTACGCTTCTCGACCACTGCTAGGCTCCAACTTCAACAAACGTATATTACTTGCTAGGAAACATATAAGCTACAGTATTAACATATTTCTTGGGAGCTTTCTTGCATATCGTGTTACTCTGGTATTTGTAATGTGCAAGTTTTGATACATACGAAGGCTTGTAAATTAGGTGACGCTTTATCTATCCAATTTTTCCTTAACCGATTCTAATGAAAATAATCCGAATAATTAATCTCTCGAATCAGCACGTTGTCGCTGTATTTTGTCAGTCTTTGTTGTAATATGAGGAAGATTTATAGCTACAATTATTTTGGGAGAAAGACGCGATATACCAAGGCCAACTTGGCTAAATTTTTGAGCTTTGACTTTTTATATCCTTCATAGTAAATTGATCTCACAAAATATGTTGAGCTAATTCTCTAATAGTTTCTACTAAGTTTTGCACGTTTTGAAAAGGTGAGATTTATTTGGCTAAACCTCGGATACGATGTACAGTGTGTAACAAAAAAAACCGGATATTTTTTTATACGACGTAAACGCGTCTTACGCGTTTGTTTCTTGTCCGAT